ATAATCCCAAACTGAACTTTAAATCACTGCTCTATCCTCTATAATTTCTTTGTAACCATTCAAATTCTAATATTTGCTACAGTTTATTAAATATTTAATGAAATACGAAGTTTTAATTTCTTAGTATATTTCTGGTCCCATTTACCAATAAGATACTTTGTTACAGCAAAAATAACTGACAGTGAATAGATATGGGATGATACTTTAAAAAAAAAAACACTGAATAGATCTGAGAATAAATTTTCCCATCTGTAAAACAGGAAGTATAACCTGCCAACAAAAATATTACTGGTTAGAAACCAATGAATTTGATGCAAGAGAACTATCAACATAAAAAGGTGAATCAATTCAAGACTATTCAAATTTCATGGTATCCAGTCCAAAAAACGCTTAGCAGACAGCTGCAAAGTTTGTGAAAAGCAGATGAAAGGGTATGGTTTTAGATTTCTATTACCAATTGCACTGTCACATCCATTTATAGATGTGTTGATGTACTCCCCTTTGGCATCACTGGGAGTGAGAATACATGTCTGTGAGCTGGTAAAGACCTCCTATAATCAAGTACGTGAGGCACCAATGTTGACTTAATGAAGTCCAAATACCTAAATTTGACCAATGTCTTGGATTTTTTGATGTCTCATCAACACCATTACTTATTTTCCAAATTATCTTTTTGCCTTACTCTTTAAATTTACTTCCGCTCTATCATTCTCTAGGTTAACACAAAGGTCATCTAGACTCTGAGTGCAACAGTCATCTACATTTCCAAAAACTTTAGATCCCCGAACCACTTCTACAAGTAATTATCTTGACATAGATGCATCCCAGCAAGGCTCTAAATCCAGAAGAAAAACAACAAAACAATTCCCAAAACAACACTTTATCCAGCACACAATAAAACTATTGGCAGCTATAAAGATTCCATTTTGAAGATGACAAAACTAACTGAAACTCAATGAAACAAATTTTCATTTAGTCATTTAAGTAGTTAAGAGTATTTCCAACTCTAATTCAGTGATCTCTCCTAAGCACCAAGACTTGAAAGTGAAAATATTTATGCTACCTGACACAAAAAGTAAAATATTCACTATCCTATTAGTTATAACATACAAGTTAATAAAATCCAATATATTTTTTTAAAAACCCTAACAAGAATTATCACAAAACATTGTACTTTTTATTTTTGTAAGAGATGAGGAAGGATTTTTCATTGTACCTATATAGAACTAGTAATTCAGATATTCACTTAAAGTCTCTTGGATTAATTCAGTTCCAAAACAAAAGAAATTCACCTTTGATTCAATGCAAAACAATTACCTCTAGTTCTTCTGATGTATTGTAATATATTTTAACAAAGGAATAAATTTTTTCTTCCTGGGTTTTATAATTTTGATGTTTGAAACTGAAAATGATATTGCATTTCTGTAGCACCATTAATTCAGTGAGAAGACTGAGGTATAGATATTGCTTATTTAACAATTTATCTGTTTAATGACTGCATTTAACAACTAATGCACCTGGATTATCACCCTGTTTTATTTTGTTTTGCTTTTATATAATTCTATACATCTGTTTTATAAGACCTTGATACCTTTTTTTGGTACAGTAGACCTTGACAATACAGAACTGTAATTTTTGCTGATTGCACTGTTCATTACAGTACTGTAGTTTTATGTTCTGTTATACATCACAGTATTGCATGAATCATATAAATAAATGCAAAGTCATTACTTTGGAATTTCCTTTAACTATTTCTTTGTTCTGAACATTGTAATGTACATACTGCATACAAGTTCTCATTTAGAGACCAAATCATTTAACAATGTAGTTGCAGGAATACAGCTCCATAATTGAATCAGAAATGTCTATATTTGAGATAGGGTCAGAAATCCAATGTCATTTTTCAACAAAAACTAAAAGACAACCCTTAAAGTCACTTACAACTATAAAAGACACCAAAAAGCCAAAGAAAACATTTACATGTTTATTTATACATATAATGTATGTGATCTGGACTCACATGCTGCCTTGAGTGGCCTGTAACTCCTAAGCTCCAATGATTTTCCTCAGTAGCTGAACCCAACGTATATTTCACAGTGCACAGCAAAGCAATTGTTAGAACACATATACACACATATCGCAAAATTAGAGGTATCATACTACCTAACATTAAAATATATTACAAAACTACAGTAATCAAAACAGCACAGTATTGGCACAAAACCAAATATCTCAAGGAAACCAAATAAAAAGTATGAAAGAAAAAATAAAAGAAACAGATATCTCAAGGGAATCAAATAAAAAATCCAAAAGAAAAAATTTAAAAGAAACGTTTGAGACATTTGTCAAATTCACAGATATTGGAACATTTTATAGCAGCACAAAGAACACAATGCAAAAGGAATAGGACAGACTTCAGTAAACAATATTAGGAAAACTTTGTATCCACATGCAGAAAAATTATATTAATGCTTATCTCACAACATACATAAAACTCAAAATAGCTAAAAAATGAAATTTAAGATAAAACCTATAAAATTGGTAGAAAAAATAGGGTAAAAGCTCCGCAATATTGGTCTAGGCAGTTTTTTAAATATAAGCTGAAACCACAAGGAAAAAAAAAGCAATAATAGATAAATCAGATAGTACTCTTCCTCAAAAAAAGGGAATTTGGTCATTTATAACAAGATAGATAAACCTACAGAACATCATGCTAAGTGAAATAAGCCACATCATCTTTAAAATATCACATATTGATTACAAGAAACTGAAAAGTCAGAGACAAGCAGATATATGGAGAAGATGCTATAAAAGAATGTTAAATTCTAAGTAGAAGAGTTACGTTTTTGAGATCAGCATGGTTACTATAGTTAATAATAATGTTGTAGCTGTTAATCTAAATATGTCAACATGACTGCAGTAAGAACCACTGTGTGTGATGATGTACACCTATAATCCCAGCACTCAGGCTCAAGGCAGGAGGAGCAGCATGAGTTTAAGGCCATCTTGGGATACACAGTGAGTTCAAGGCTACATAGCAGGACCCTATCTCAAAAAAGGAAAAAAAAAAAAAAAGAAATTAATGCCTACTGGATTAGTAAAGCACAGTTTTAGGGTGTCCATGGAAGACTCACATGCAGGACACATGAGAGGAGGGAAGGAGGATGGACCCACTGTGTTGGAGGTAGCACTAACCAATACCTCTGTGGTCTGAGTGAAACATAAAAAGGGAAGAAAAAGAAAATATGCCCATTTTGAAGAGCTCGTCTTTCAGTCTTTGCATCTTTTGCTACCATAATAAGTCTCTGGGTCTCCAGTTGCTTTAGCTTTCCAAAGCACTTTCACAGACAATTTTCTGATAAACATGAAGACCTTCAATCTTGGACTGATCTTGGAGAGCCTTGATCTCTCCTGTCTTGCAGCATCTATCTTCTTGAACTGAGCAACTACTGTTATCCTCCAGCTCTCCGAAGCACGGAGGGCCACTAAGGACTCTCTCACCAATGATCATAAGCATAGCCACTGTGGACTCTCCTTGTCTTGTGTCTAAAGGATCATATCTACTAAATCTCCGTGCATAATTGTATAATATAGAATATTACATAAATGTATTTTCTCTATTGAATATATAATATATAAACTGGCTATGGTGCTACATGGATGTACTCCTAACTACTCAAGATGCTGAGGCAGTAAGATCCCTTGAACTAAGAGTTCAACAGTAGCCTTGGCAACACAGAAAGACATTGTCTCTCATTCATTCAAACATATACATATACATGTATGTGTATATATATATATATATATATACTTACATATACAACTATTTATACTAAAAAGCAAATAAATTTCATCATAAATAGCTAAATATTAAATATAGCTAAATGCTATACCAATAAACTAAATGAGTTACAAAATGATCCATGATGTGTCTATTATATCTTTCAGAATAGACAATTACTAATATTTTCTAAAATGTGAGGGGGTCCTTTTTAATATGAATTTAATGTCAAATTTTTACTTATACTGACTACCTTCTTTTCCAAACATGTGTTTTATTTAATAATACTAATTTTTAATCTCTTAAAAAAAGAAATATCTGTTAGCATAATATACATTTATTTATTGGAGGTATTTATTTTGGTGCTAGGAACTCAGGACCTTATACTTGCCAGGCAGGCATTTATGCCACTTGAGCCACTGAGCTATATCCTCAGCCCTCAAGGTATATTATAAAACAATTATAATATTATAAAATAAACAAAATCATATGCATTTTTTACTTCTAGCTTCTTACCACCAGTTCAGCAATTTGAAAGTGCATCTTTATTTTAGCTTCTACTTCTGCTTCTTTTAATATCTACAACTCCACTGTAAAGATACGCTCCACTTTGCTTATCCATTAATCAAGTAAAATACTCTGTTGTTCCCATTTTGGCTATTATGAATAATGAGATGCACGATTATGTAAAAGATTTTGTAGAGGCATATATTTTTCTCTCTCTTGGGTGTATACCTAGGAGTAAATTCCTGAGTCCTATATTAACAGTATTTAACATTTTGAAGAAGATCAGAACTACTTTCTAAAGAAGCATGTTATTTTAAGATGAGATAAAAGTAATATGTACTTTAGTAGCTAATCATTCAAAATTTAACACAGAATTGTTTCTTATACAAAATGCAAACTTTACTTGCTAAAACTTAACAAGTACCACGAACGAGATTTTTGTCATATACACTGATCCCCTCAAAACTTATTTCTGTGAGATCAAAGGGTAAATTATACCAGAACATGGTTAAAAGTGAATTCTTACAAGTACAAAACATATCCAAACATTTGCCAGGGTCAAAATTTGATGGCTTAACTTACAAACTGTCCTTTAAACATAAATTATAAATACTTACGTTTATAGAAACAATTTAAATTGAGCATGCTAAATAATACTAGTCACCTCTATGAGAAATATTCCACAGAATTGTCAAGGAAATCACGCGCTTACCTACTGTTTGAAAGACTTCATTCATTAAAGCTTCATTTACTCCTGAAGAGCTGACGTTTTCAATATGAGACCAACTTTGGTATATTGCATGTAGCAGAAGTGTCTGTGCTCTTGTGGCTTGAATTGTGAGATTTGGAAGTTCAAATATACCTTCAGTTAATACAATCTGAGATCTTTTGGTCCTTTATTAGAAAATGGAAAGAAAACAGAATGAACAGCTTAAATAAATAATACTGATTGAATTAGGCTGAAAGCATATACATTTAAAATATTTTAAAGTAGAATTAAATCAGTTAGATATTCAATAATATGAACTTTTAAATTTCATGATTTCAGAAACTATTAAAATAATGAAAAATAGAATAATGTCCATACACATATCTATTCTGCTGAAACAATTACAATTTTTCAAGCAATACAAACAAAACTAAAAAAGGGGATTAGCAAAACTGAATTATTCTAAATGTCTACTGAATTGTCATAATAACCCTATGAGGATCTACCATATTTATTTTTCAGTTGAAAAAATAAATAAACACATAAATCCATATAAATTAAGGCAAAAAATCATCTGTTAAGTGGAAAACTGGAATTTAATTCCAAGTGATCTGATTTAGAGATGACCTCTAACCTGTATTTCCTCTCAAAAGTATTTATGACGTCTTTACATTATACCCAAATCTGTACTTCACATTAACACAGAAAAATTATTTTGGAATTTCTATGCTACAACATCTATTCCATTAATGCCTACTATCTGATTTTGTCTACAAATAAGATGTTTCATGAAATTAAATTTTCCAAATAATAAAACCTCAAAGTAAAATCTGAAATGCTTGTGAACAGTAAATCAAGACTAAGGTTAATAAACAAACAAAAATAAAGACATGAAAAAGAATATTATTAAGATGCTTACTGTAGTACACTCTCTCTCTCTTTACCCCACAAATCTCTATCCTTTATTATATACCCAGACACATCACAACCAGAGAGTAGTGGACAATACTACAAATCAATTAAAAAGTTAAATGTGTTTGAGTGTTCCTTGAGTGCAGCATATTATTGGATTGTGCTTCTTGATCCATTCTGCCAGCCTATTTTCTTTGATTGGTGAGTTGAGACCATTTACATTGATGATTATAACTGATGTACAGTGTTTCTTTTGCACATTGTTCCCTTATTGCTTGTTCCCTATCTCTCTGTTCTGTTTAATGGTTGGCCCTTCCTGCCAGCTTCCTTCTATAGGTATTCCTGCGTTTGCAGTCTTTGTTATTTCTGTCTGTCTTTCAGAGAATTCTGTAGGGCTGGTTTGGTGGTCATAAATTTCTTCAGTTGTTCTTTGTTATGGAAGTATCTTATTTCTCCACCAACTTTGAAAGTTAATTTTGCAGGATACATCAATCTGGGTTAAAGATTATTTTCCATTAGGGCTTGAAATACTTCAAGTTTTTCTTGATTTTAAGGTTTGTGTTGAGAAGTCAGCAGTAATCCTAACAGGCTTTCCCTTATAGGTGATAATCTTTTCTCTACCTGCTTTTAATATTTTGTTCTTGGGCTGAATTTCTGGAATTTTGATTATATCCCTAGTATAGATTGACTTTGTGATACGTATTTGGAGTTCTATATGCTTCATTTATTTGTACATCAAATTCTTTATATATGTTTGCTAAGTTTTCTGCTATTATTTCTGTGAAGAAGTTTTTAATGGCTTTTGTGCTGTCTCTTGCTTTTCACGTTGTGTTTTGTTTCAACATGTAGCTACAGAATTGATTTTTCCTGCTCTCTTGTGATTTTTAGGATATTTTTCTTTTCACTGTCACTCGCTGTTACTACCTTCTTTATCTGATATTCTCTTTGGCTTCATTCCATTTGCTGCATATCCTTTCTTTTTTTTGTTTTAATTTTATTTAAGGAGAAAAAGGAAAAAAAGCAAAAAAAAGGGTACAAGTTATACAGAATTTCAGAAAAAAATAAACAGTAGGAAATCACTAGTTAATGGATTACATATGGTCATCTTAGAAATATTTGTTCAAGTTATAAAATTAAAGCATATAAAGTGGATATTCAAACAGTGAGACTGCCAACAGTTCTGTTCAATGATCCAACAAAACTCAGTAATATCATTGTCTATCTTATACACTTAAATATACATGCAGTTATATCGTTTAGAGCACTTTCTTTTCCTCTCTTATGTACAATGACTATTACACATTTTGGGTTTTATTATTCCCACAGTTCTTATTACTTTTTTGGAATAGAGTAAAACCAAATGTGATATAACAGAACAGAGTCGGTCAAATCAAAAGGGTGGACATAATAGATAATGTAAAAACATAATACAAGGTGATCAACAATGGTTACCATAATGCCTCCCGCTATCTCAAATAGAATTGCCTATATCATTAGTTGTAATACAATTGAACAAAACAGTAAAGAACAAAACCAAAACATTGGAGACATTACAGGTCTTCAAAAGTAGATAATAGTCAACCAGAATGGACGTCATAATGAATCCCACTATCTTCACAGCTGTTGCCTATACTTTCGAACCTGATACTATCCATCAAAACAGAATAGAGGAGCATCAGTCAAAACAAGATGGTGAGAGCAACACAGGACTTCAAATCAAGTTAATAGAAAATCACAGTGGGGTACTATAATATATCCTGCTATTTTTAAATTTATTTTTCCCTTAATTAAAAAGATAAAAATAAAAAAGTAAATAATGAAATGGAGATTGAGATAAAAGAGGGCATAACACCAAAACAGCGCAGGTCAAAACATAACCATTTAAGCAAAATAGTGTTTCACCACAAGATAATCCTGACATAAAAGTAGTTACCATATTGTCTCTTTCCTTAAAATCTTTGAGTATAACTTCGTATACTGTAACATCAAATATATCAAAACAATGTAAAACCATTCAAGAGAATGACAGTATTACAGTGTATTTAGAATTAACTAACAGAAAATGAACAATGGTTTCTGTATAATCTCCTTGTCTATAAAAGTTTTTGTTTATACTATCACATATAATAAAATCCAATAAGATACAACAGGTTAAAACTGATGGAGACAGAAGAACAAAAGCTTGATGGGACTTCAAAACAAGAGGATATTAAATCAGTACTACCTATTATGATGTCTTGTTATCTCCAAAATGGCTGTTCCTAGCATCCAACCTTCTCTGCCTCATTTCTGTTGAGCTCTTTTTCTGTCGTTTGTTGTCAGTTTGTCTTCTTCATTTTGCTTTCTGCTCCATTCATTGTGGCCTCTCTGCCACTGTTTCTGGGATCTTGGTATTTTCCTTTTTTAAAATATCCTGCAGTATTCTCTGTAGAGCTGAATTGGTGGTTGCATATCCCCTAGTTCCTCTTTATTCTGGAAGCACCTTGTTTTTTCATCAATTTCCAGGGATAGTTGTGCAGGATATATCAATCTTGACTGGAGGTTATTATCTTTCAAAGCTTGAATTATTTCCCCCCACACTCTTCGTGATTTGATGGTTTGTGCCGAGAAGGCTGCTGTAATTCTGATGGGTATTCCCTTGTAAGTGATCTATTTTGTGTCTCTGATGGCTTTTAATATTCTGTTCTTATATTGGATTTCTGGTATTTTAATTATTATATACCTGAGTGTAGCTCTGTTTGGGTTGTAGGTGGCTGGGGTCCTGTATGCTTCATACATCTGAGTATCTTTACCTTTTGCTAAATTAGGAAAATTCTCCTGGATTATTTCTGTGAGTAGCTTTTGTAGTTCATTTGTGTCCCTTCCTCTTCTTTTATGTTAATTCTTAAGTTATAGATCCTCTTATCATCTTCTAGTCTTTGTATTATTGCTGTTTCTTTGTTATTTTAAAGAAGTTTTTCATTTCATGCTCCCATATTACCAATCTGCCCTCCAGTTCAGATAATCTATCCTTAGTTTCTTTCAAGCTGTTATGCCAGTTTTTGATAGAGTTTTTAGTTTCCTGGTAATCTCTTTGAACCTGCTTCACGTATTCTATGTTTTCTCTATTTTCTCCATTAAACAATTATCCCCTTTTTTTCTGTTCTTCCATTCCACCATCTGTTTTTTCTTGGGTGGTGTTTAGCATTTCTCTAACTATTCTGCTTATGTCTTGCTTCAGGTCATTAATAACTTCATTCCTGAACTCAGCAATGAAGCTCTGGAGATAGCGCTTTATGTCTATTGGTGCCGTGTCTGCTATTGCCTGTTTCTCAGGATTGGGGGCCGAGGAGCCTTTCTTATTGCTCCCTCTTCCCATATTCTTTGTTTCTTATATACAAGCGTATATAGGAGGCCCAGCTTCCTTCCCTGTCGGCCACAGTCTGTTTGAATTGTGCCCGCTAGGTGTTCCCACCCACTGCCGGGCACCAGGGAGTTACGGACCAGGCAGCCTATGCGGTGCCCGCCCCTCCAGGTCAACCTACCAAAGGCTTCACCACAAGGGTGCACCTCCAGGTGCTGGGACCTGGGTTGTGCTAGCCTACTGGGTCTGAGCCAGCAGTGTTACGTAGGCTAGGCACTGCTCACCAATCCCGCTTAAGAGGGGGATATGTGACTGAAGTCACTACAGCGCCCTGTTCCGGCAAGTCTGCCTGGTCCCAGAATGTCCTCTGTTGGAGCCTCCTAGACTGTGGAAGAGTCCCAGTTTCCCTCACTCACTGCAGGTCGATGCACGGCTCCCCGCCCATCCCGCTCTCAACTCCATTCACTGATTCCCATTCTCAGAGCTTTTGCGTGTCTCTCTCCCTGCCGAGCCGATTCAGATGCAGCAGTGGCAGCAGGAAAACCAAATCGTGACTTCCAATGGTGCAGGCTCCAGCTTCCACACTGAGGCTTTATCTGTTCCTGTTATAGCACCAGGATTGCATTCCCAGTTGGTTTCTCTCAGCCCAGTTCGTTCTTGGATCAGCAGTGTATATCTCCTCTTGCTTAGGATTCCTCACTCCACATCATTCCTGGATTCTAAGCTGGGTCTCTCAGAGAGCCTCCGTAGCTGCTGCTATCTGTCCGCCATGTTCTCCCGGAAACTGCATATCCTTTCAATAGGGTTTCTAATCTGTATTTCTATTTGAATGTGTTTCACTGATTCCATTTTTTGTCTATGTTTAGCACTCATCATTTCCATTGTTTAACTGAGCTCCATTTACTTATTTGTATCTGCTTTAATGTCTTT